CTTAAGACCGGTCTCGAGACCAAGACTGACTTCGAGTACCACAACACTGGATTACTGTCTTTGTATGAAACTATTTTTATGTCGATTTATGTATGTGTAACCCAGGCTTTCCCTCTTTGGATCTGCAGCTGGTGGACGACACCCTATGGCAGTGGTTCTTAACCTTTTTTGAGGTACCGAACCCACCAGTTTCATATGCGCATTCACTGAACCCTTCTGTAGTGATATCTTTTTTCCAAATTCAAGACATGAGACAAGACATTCAACCCCTGAGACCTACTCATCGAACCCGTGGGGTTCGATCGAACCCAGGTTAAGAACCACTGCCCTATGGACTCTGCGTTGTTTTATTTTGTGTGTGAAGATGGGATGTGCTCCGTGCAGAAAAGAGGAATCAGACACAGGGATCTTAGTTGTGGGGAGACCTTGGCGTGTTTATTTCGTCCACCTTACAGGCAGTAAGCACACTGTCAGCATTCAACCGTTTTCTTTTTACAAAACAATCAAACATCACCAGAAAGAAAATGTAATTTGTGCTTAACTGGCAATCTGAACCAACAAATATCTCGGTATGGTAATGTTTATTTTTCACCGGGTTAGCGGAACTGCTGCTTACCTTAGAGGGCCACATAACTTTTCCCTTCTCTGGTGGGGGGCCGGAAATTGTTTACGGGGGGGGGTGCGTTTCTCGATTGATTTTTACCCAGAAAGCACATGGGCAAAAACCATGAGTGAAACGGTCACTGGGACTGACTAGTATATATTCCATTGAGGGAATGTAACTATAACATATTAATTTCTCATATGTTAACATAAAGGCTCGTTTTGAAGTATAAGCTGCTACTTACAGGCATTGGTTTGAAGAATTCAACCTGGAATGAAACATTGAAAAGTGGTTAAATGAAAAATAGATTAATGAAAAATGGGTAAATGGATAAAGGGATAAATGACAAATAGATGAATGAAAAAGAGAAATTGGGAAATTGATAATATGAAAAATAAATAAATTAAAAATTGGTTTAATGAAAAAGCAAAATTATTTAACACATTTTTTATTTATTTCACTCATTTTCTTCATTTTTTGATTTATTTTACTCATTTTTTTATTTTATTTTACCCATTTATTTATTTATTTAATTTTGGCTGAAATGGCTCTCCATAGTAAACACATTGTAAGGAACATAGCAGTTTGCGCACAAAAATCCCCTGCACTACAGTGTCCCCAGCAGGACAAACATGTCAGGATTGTGGTAGTACCAACAGCACCTTCTTTTGGAACACTTATGCACTACTTTACATATGTATTTTAGAAAGAAATGAACGTGTAACATTTTATGTAAGAATAAAAATTTTGAGTTTTCCTTTAGTGTATGTTATGCCTTATACTTGAACCCAGTATGGTGACCGTACATCTATGCTGGTTGTAGCCACTGTGGTTCCTCACACCATTTGTGTCTGTGCATGTAGGGAGCAGTCGGGGGGGAGAAGCCCCTGTCTACTAGTAATTGCCGACTATGTGTTTGTGATTTTCTTCATCCATTAAAAAAAAAAAAAAAAACTGAATCTATAACTAAACTCATAGATTTTTTTGTAACACTAGCTAGTGTGATACATTTCAGTAAATGTTCCTCATTTGTACATGTATTTCTTAAGAATATGTGACTGGTAGTAAACAGGCCTACGTGAGGTTACTCAAATTTAGCTTTCTTCAGTTATTAAACAACCATAATGACTCCAACCTAGATCATCAGCGTCTGCCTCACTCACCATCATCAGTGTCTGCCTCACCACCTCAACCGCATTTCATGACATTTTAACATTGGCTATAAAATCCACTGCTGTGGTGCAACTAAGTAAAAACACTGTAGGAAAGAGGTGAGATGTCTGGTGTTCAAAATAAAAAGTAACATAATTTTAGAGATAACCAAATAAAGAAATTCATGAGTGCAGATTCAGTATTATTTTCTTAAATATCTTTCACACAACATAAATTTCTTGAAGGTTTCAATAGTTTCATAAGTGCATATTCGCTGATTTGATTCTTTGTATTCCTTCAGATTGGTTAATCGTACTCATAATAAACACATTACACTTTTCTATGGGTGAAAAAATAATTGACTTACATTCATGCACAATGTTGTGGTTGCAAGTCACCAACATGATGAAAGATCAACATGGGACCAACATGATGTCAAAGGAATGTTTATTTTAGGGGGGGACATCCAGGCACCGGAAATTAAAAAGCAATCATTTATTAGGGTCATAAATTTTTAGTCCAACAATGAAGATTTGTCATAAGGGTGTTTATATGTCTCTCTTTCCTAATTTAGTCAAAGTTAAATTAGATTTAGTTTGTGTTATTTAGAAATAACAGGAAAAGTAAAATTGATTGGATATTATTTCGTTATCTAAAAAGAATACAATTATTTAACACAATTTAATCCTTGAGTGACGTTCTGATCCACACTCCATACCAGTCGGTGCTGACAGCTCCTCTAAAGGTCAGACTTCTTAATGAAGGTTCTGTCAGATCAGCACAGGCTGTCAGGTGACTACAACTAGTCGACATGAAAAATAGCAGGTCATTGGCACTAAGCTTAAGAGGCTCCATGGCCCACCAATGCAATGCATGCACCCAAAACCTCAGAACCCAAGCCTCCAGGCTCAGCCAGGATCCCAGACAATACGCCCCCAAAATCCCAAGCAGCCAAGGCTACCTCAGTCCCACCCAGGAACAGTCCAGCCACCAGGCCAGTAACCCTGGTGGCTGAGCCACCATCCTGTAAGAACCCCATAAATGTGTTATATGCTGCTGCCAGAATAATCTCCAGTCACCAATCTCAATCCCCGGTGTGCTTCACTGTCCCCAACTCGCACCATATGAGAAATATTTAGACGTGATGACGAAGGTGAAGTTGGTTTCCAATTCTAGCTTCCAATTCGGGAATGGCTAATTTTTCACAACCTTCCGCATCTTTAATCAACTCTCGTTTAAAAACAACACCTAGACTCTTCAAACCTGGACTGGATTATTCTGCTCTAATAACAGAATATTCAAAACCAAGTTTGGGATTTGTGAAACTTCAATAAAGGGCAATTTTCACCATTTTTTTTGGCCTTGGTCACTCAAAACCTGCTCTAACTTCAAAACTACAACTCAAAATAAGCAAGCGATTATTAGTATTAGATGCACTATTTTAAAACTTCTTTGAAAACACTTTTTGAGGACTATTGGTTTAATTAATTTATTCATAATCGCTTGGATGTACATCTGTTTTTGAGTGTGTTTGTAACACTTCCAAAAAGTTTATCACTTTGCCTTTCTCTCATGAACGCCATAATAAAACTACACACACATACTTCTTATTTGGTATGTTAAAATTAAATTATTTCATATTAATAAAATCAGCCAATAAAAAACATGAATTGGACACTAAACAAGAATATTTACAGTCTACAAGTAATCCATATCCAGAATCCACTGTAAAGTTTTTGTATTAATTCAGTTTACGTTTATTGGTTGCTTCACTACACTATAATATATATATGCAGTATAATAGCGCATTTTTGCCTCTGAATTTCAATAAACCACCAAGATTGCAAAAATGATTGGTATTGTTTCAAAGACAACATTTGAGGCTCCACTGTTGTTCTTATTAAAAAAAAAGGTGAGAGATTCATTTTTTAGAAAGCAACCGCCTTTGTCTTCTTGAATTTTACAGGACATTCTGTCTGGGAAATTGATGCCATATTTCCAGTTTCAGGAGAAGTGGGTTCCCATCATCTTCAATGATGATAAACAACTGGACCAAATAATGAAGGATCTGTCAGCTTCTGGACAGCTATGAAGGAAAAACAGCTGAAGTCATTAAAATGATGTCATTAGACAGGATCAAATACATTCTTAACGTCCTGCTGTCTGAGGTTAGTTACTGGAAACATAATCTCAACATAGAGATGGAATGACTCAGTAGTTATACATTTTAATGAAAAACTCGGTAACACTTTATTTGAAGGGGTGTGCATAAGACTGACATGACACTGTCATAAACATGACATAATAGCTGTCATGAAGATGAAGAAGTCTTTATTAATGTTTATGACTGTTGTCATGAAGTGTCATTCAGTAAAAAATGACACTTTTAATGCAAAGTTGCTCTAGAAGGTGCATTGAAAGTCCATTAAAGTGCCAACTTTGCATTAAATTATCATAATTTACAAAATCATGCAAAGTTGGCACTTTTAATGGACTTTTAATTCACCTTTTAGAGCAACTTTGCATTAAAAGTGTCATTATTTACCGAATAACACTTCATGACAGCTGTCATAGACATTCATAAAGACTTCTTTATGTTTATGACAGTGTCATGTCAGTCTTATGCACACCCCTTCAAATAAAGTGTTACCGAGTTTTTCATTAAGATGTGTAACTACTGAGTCATTCCATCTCTATGTTGAGATAATATTTCCAGTAATTAACCATTTCGTCATGTATTTAAACAATAAAACAATGTTTGCATAACAATTTAAAAAAAAATTTTAATTAAATTTTGAAGTAAATATTTGTGTTTTTTGCAAACAGTTCTAAACATTAAATATCTGGATTGAATACAGGCATCGATAAATGCACTGGAAACAAAAAAGGACTAAACAGGGCAGAGGCAGTGCAAAAAATGGAGCATGGCCAAATGGAGGAGAGGTAAGAGAATTAAAGGGTTAGAAGCAACATGAGCATGAAAAATATCATATTTAAATATAGAAAAATAATTTAAGTTATTCATAGCAAATTGTCTTTTTTGGAGTGAAAGAAGAGCACTTCTGATGCAGATAAAATCAGAAATAGAGAGGTGTTCGAAGACCTAAAATGAAGGAAAAGCAGTGAAATGTTTTTGAATTAGAGCAGTTCTAGTGTGATACAGATGCAAAAAAGTGGTAAAAATCCATCTTTATTGAAGTTTCACAAATCAGAAAAAGGTTTCACACATCACAAACATGGTTTTAAATATTCTGCTATTACGGCAGAATAATCCAGTTCGGATTTGAAGAGTCTAGGAGTTGTAGTTTTTAAACTAGAGTCGATTAAAGATCCGGAAGGTTGTGAAAAATTAGGTGGAATCGCCCTTTAGCCATTTCCCGAATCGGAAACAACCAACCTTCAGCTTCGTGATGTGATGATCGTATAATCCAGAAGGTGGCGGTAATGCAACAATATCAATGCCGACAGTCATAAAACCCCAAAGAAGAAGAGAACGATGAGGAAGCGGAAAGAACGAAGATGGCGCATGGTCTGTTTTGTTTAATGTCAAGTTTATCAACGAGCAGTTAATCCTGCTGAAGAAACAGTCACAGAGTTTAATCGTCAAGTCCGAGAAAGAAATGGATGATCAGCGCAGACTGCTGGACTTCTCCCGAATTCCCTGGATAATCTTACACCGAATAGGTAGGAAACCCCAGAGTTTGGATGGAGTTAAGGTTTAAGTAAACCGATAAATAAAATTTAGAAATTTGTAAAATGTTAAATGTAAAGTAGGCATATCTTTTGCAATTCCAGATTAAAATATTATGATAAATAAAAGAATAACAGATAAATTGATAGTATATACAGCAGTGACGTGCGGTGAGGATCATTGCTGGTGAGGCACTGACTTACGACTTATATAGACACCATGCATGTTATTGGACGTACGGAAATTTCGCGCAGGCATACAAAGCTGGGGGGCAAAAAGATTATTCTTTTACATGCCATCCATAGCCGCGTTAACTCAGTCATCCCTTTTTTTATTTTACTAATTTTATATTTAAAAAATATTTTAAAAAGATGTTCATAAAATGTATTACCTCAGATGATCATCACATTTGTTACCTCTAATGTTCAATTACATAAAATTCTAGGACAGGATCTATTTCATTACGTGTTCACACTTGCCTGAAATATGTTAATTACAACAAATCACTTAAAGTGTGATCTATTTAATAAAATGTACTTGTCACCTTTATTGTTTAATTACACATTAAATGTTTAAAGATGGACTCTTTCATGTGGTTTGTGTCATGATGTGGTGAGGCTGTGGACCCAAACGCAGCAGGTAGTAGACGTACTTTATGCGGATGTTATTTTAATGAACAAAATAAATCCAAAATCCAGGGAAAACAAGAAAATCCAAAACACAATGAAGCAAGAGACACGAGGGATAACAAAGGTATTGACTGGCAACGTGGTGAGCAGGTTAACAAGCTGGACTGGCGAGTGGTGACTGAAACAGAGGAGCTGAAGTACTGGGAGGTAGTAATAGGAACAATGGCCTAGCTAGGTGAGAAGAGTGATAGCAGGTGTGAGTAATATGTATAGAAAATGTAATACAATTAAAAAAGAAGAGAATATATCCAGAATAAGATTTGGACATATGTGGTGCACCTAAAAAAATGCCACCACAGTATTTGTTTTTACAATTTATTCTACTTTCTAAAACAATTAACAAATTACACTTTATTTGCAGTTCGGCATGTTAACCTGCCTACATTTATAGTACTTTCTTGAGGTGGGGACGGGAGCAGTAGTGGAGAAACGGAACCTTTGTTTGGGGGGTGGGGGTGTTGCTTCCAGGTTGGTTTTGGGATGGACTTCCGTTTTGCCTCAAACGCAATCTCGATGGTAACAGCAGCTCTTGGTCGAAATTGCTGACTTTTCTTTATTTACTCTTCAGATTGTGTGTCATCACTGTTACAGCAGTCCTGACACTCGGGACCTGTAACACATACAGGGATAAATGGTACTCTCAAAATAATTAATAAACATAATACACGTTGTTGTTATTGTGAACAAATAGAAATAGTACAGCATATATTTTTAGAATGTAATTGGCAATATAATGTTATACACAGGCAAAAGAAATCCAATGTCCAAAAAACTAGGAGCTGACATTTATGGTTTGTTTTTTTTAATTTGGTGAGCAAATAACAAAGATCAAACTTGTCATTGTTTTTGGCATCCATCCATCCATCCATCCATCCATCCATCCATCCATCCATCCATCCATCCATCCATCCATCCATCCATTTTCCGGTGTCGTTGGGGCAGCAGCCCCAGAAGGGAGGCCCAGACTTCCCTCTCCCCAGCCACTTCTTCCAGCTCCTCAGGGGGAACCCCAAGGCGTTCCCAGGCCAGATGAGAAACATAGTCCCTCCAGCGTGTCCTGGGTCTTCTCCTCCTGGTGGGGTGTACCCGGAACACCTCACTAGGGAGGCGTCCAGGAGGCATCCTGACCAGATGCCCGAGTTACTTCAACTGACTCCTCTCAACATGGAGGAGCAGCAGCTCTACTCCAAGTCCCTCCTGGATGACCGAGCTCTCACCCTATCTCTAAGGGAGAGCCCAGCCACCCTGCAGAGGAAACCCATTTCGGTCGCTTATATCCATGATCTCGTTCTTTCGGTCATGACCCAAAGCTCATGACCATAGATGAGGGTGGGAACGTAGATCGACCGGTAAATCGAGAGCTTCGCTTTTTGGCTCGGCTCTCTCTTCACCATGTCAAATCGGTACAGCGCCCGCTTCATAGCGGACGCTTAGCCTATCCGCCTGTCGATCTCCCGCTCCCTTCTTCCCTCATTTGAGAACAAGATCACCTCTTCTGCTCTTCTTCCTCTTCTGCTCTGGTGAAAAACCTAAAGACCAACCCAGTGCATGCTGGTCCTACACCAGTCCCTATACTTATAGAAAATGGACCCGCAGTTCTTCCTGTCTACCTTAGAGAAGTAAATAATAATTAAAACAATTGTTAACATACAAATAAACTGTAAATAAACCACCAAAATATAAAGTGAATGAGCAATAAAAATAAAGAATACCTTCAACATAAGAAATACTCAAATAATAAAATGTATTTTAACAATAATGCCTAAATTTATTTGGGGATCTCTTATGAAATGAATAATTTCATAATAGAGTGATTTTTAAAAGAAATCTGATTGTTTTGTGATTTATGTCACAAACAATGAAAGTCTTCTCTCATTCACTTCAATAAAGTTAACAATTGCTCTTTTCCTCTGTTTTCTTGTCCAGATTGCCTGCAATGTAATATTTATAACCAGGAGAGGAGATCCACTCTGGACCAGGACGAGTTAGAACCTCTTCAGGTGAAACAAGAACAAGAAGAGCCAGAGGATCATCAGATAAAAGAAGAGCAGGAGGATCTAAAACACAAACAGATAAAAGTGGAAGAGAAAGAAGTTTACTGCAGTCAGGGTGAAGAACAGATCGAGTTAAAACAGGAGACTGATACCTGCATGGTGGTTCCTGTTGATGAACAAACAAACCAAACTGAATCAGAACCAAACGGGGAAAGAAGAAAACCTTTCTCATGTGTCATTTGTAAAAAACGTTTCACTGCCAAATATACTCTTACTGGTCATATTAGAACTCATACGGGTGAAAAGCCGTTTGCATGTGTGAACTGTGGAAAAAGCTTTAGTATAAAACAGGATTTAACTAGTCACATGAGGATTCACACTGGTGAAAAGCCATTTCCATGCGTGAACTGTGGAAAAAGCTTTAGTATAAAACAGGATTTAACTAGTCACATGAGGATTCACACTGGTGAAAAGCCATTTCCATGCGTGAACTGTGGAAAAAGCTTTAGTATAAA